CACCCTTCCTGGAGCCCCTTCAGGTACTGGGAGGCCACTAGAAGGTCTCCCCGGAACCTTCTCTTCTCCAGGCTCAACAGCCCCAACTCTCTCAGCCTGTCCTCACAGCAGAGCTGCTCCAGCCCTCGCATCATCCTGGTGGCCTCCTCTGGACTTGTTCTAACTGCTCCAGGTCTCTCTTGTGATGGGGGCTCCAGAAAGTCACTGAACCTGGTCATCATTGCTGCGATGTGAAACACAGGGAAATTGTTCACTTAGTTTTATACTTGAGTTTAAAACATCCCATTTCCTTCTCCAGGGCACTGCAGCTAGATTGGCTTATCACCAGAACTACCAGAACCTGTTGTTTGTAATAAAATCACAGCCTGTGTGGTCTCTGGAGTTGCTCTTGTTTTCAAGATTTAATCCACTAGATCATATGCACATGTGGCAGTAGCAGAGGAAGTCCTTTAACACCTAGAACTATTATTTAAATCAACTTCAGACAGATTAAATATTAGTGATATTACAGCAGTTTCCTGGAGCTGGTCTTTTCCTCATTCCTCATTCAAATTGTACAAATACCAATTTTGTTGTTAAAAAAAATAGTATTTTTTTTAAAAAAAAACAAAACCAAAAATACAACTAAAATGTTTTTTATTTGCACTAAATGGTTGGCTAAATGGCACAAACATGCCATCCCATCTGCTGAAGGGATGGTTAAACCATAGAGAAAGAGGTTTTGACTGGAGAGATAAAAACAATAGGAATTAAAATTTCAAAGGGGCAGTTTTCACTAGTTCTTAGGGCACTTTTTGTCTCCAGGAAGAATTTGGGAGGATTTCAGACACTGACATATTTAGAGGCACAAAAGCTATTAGCAGGCCAAGTGTCGTGATACCAAGAAAAGCTGTTGTAGGATAGAAGATATTAGTTTTGGTATTTAGGAACTGAAGTAAAAATTTTAACATACAGGATTTTAAGCCTTTTCTTTAATGATTGTCAGCATATCCCATCTTCCCAACCCCACTTCATAATGAAAGGTCTATTTTTCAAAATTTAAAGAAAAGGATAGAAAACTAAGAGAATACTAAATATAAATCTATTCCCATTAGTGCTGCAAACGTGCCGAGAGCTTGATTATGGAGACACGTCCAGAACATGACCTCAGATGGATTTGGCCCATCCTAAGTGTTATGTGAAAGGTGAAACGTGTTACTGCAGAACCTATTCCTACCAGCTATATAATATTTAGAAAGCCTTGAAGTGAACTCTTTTCAGGAAATCTGACAATATGGCCAAGGGACAAAAAACATCAACATTTTAGCTTTCCACTTGGGGTGGTTAATTTTTTTGTTAGTTAAGCTTTTTAAAACAAATGGCTGGAAGAACATTTGTCATTTCCATATGGCACGAATAACTTATTAGCACCACTACATTTGCCTGAGGATTTTGTCCCTGCCCCAAAAAAAAGAAGGTTCACGAGCTACAGAGTTGCCGAAGAACTTCCTTGTGTAAAGCTAAGCTGGGTACTTAAACTTTTCCTCCTGCTTAATTAACTTGTAAATCCATGGTAATTAAGCATCTGAGCACACAGGCACTATTTTAATCCAACACTCAAAAATTTTTTCTACTGTTCACACACTCTGGCATTCCTAATTGATTTTTTTTAATCAACATAATTGGAGTCGGGCACATGCTTTTCATTAAGGCCCATCCACAAGCTTTGTGAGTTTTAGCTATTTACTTTTTCTGAGAAGTACAAAAATAAAATAAAACAATTTTTTCCACAAAACATAGTTTTGATAGCAGACAGAACAACCACAGAAGTTCTCCATTTGCAGTTTTTCAAGAATTAAGGGTTGAGCTAGAACTTGCTCTCTCAATCAGTTTTCAGATGATCACACTGGCTGTGCCACACCTGACAGCACGGTACCATCAGAAGAACTCAGATGCAGGTACCACCATCACCAGGACTCACCATCTCTTTTGAGAAGTTTAAACAAAGCCAGTACGAGCTGTTCTTCATATTCACATCTCATGAAAAAAAAATTAGGAAACCACATGTGCAGCTTGTGAATTTTTACTACAGACAAGTATCATATCATGAGAAAGTCTTCAAAATGCGGAATTTATGTGACCAGATGCAAAGCTTTACAGTGTAGACACCTCCCTATTCTCTTTATAGCTGATGGACAGAAGCAGGCAGACAGCAATTCGCTTCCTCCCAAAGTACATGTCCTGTCAAATGAATCACCACTCAAATTATGCCCATCTCACTCTTCTGGTTTTAAGTGGAACACACTTTCATAAAAAACTACCTTTGGAAAGATTTTATGGGCTGGTTACTCAAGCCTGGACTCCTGGAGGAGGTAGCAAACCAGACTGCTCAGTAGGAGAAAAAGGACACCTGACAAAAAGAGACTACAGAGATTATTTTAAAAGAAATAAATGCTATCATCAACTTTTTGAGCGAGATATCAAAGGTAAGGAGTAGTAGAGAAAGCATACCTGTAAAAAAGCAGGGTTAATGTGACAGGGAATAGAAAGAATTCAGGACTACACAGAGGACTTTGTCTCAAAGACAAGAACTTTCCAAACTAGGAAGGAAACAGGCAAAAATAGCACCTAGGTATGGTCACAACTTCTAACTTCTGACTTTTGCTGGAACTAGACAATGCAATATATAGTCATTGACAGGGCATGTAGAATCCACCAAAACATAATCAGCAGCTGGTCTGGTGCTGAGAACTGGAAAAAAAAAATCTTTCCTTTTAGGACAAAAGAAAAAAGAAAGGACAATGTCTTAGCTCAGAGGCAGGGCTAAACAGGATAATATATACTCATTGACAGGGTATGTAGAATCTACCAAAATCTAATCAGCAGTTGGCCTGGTGCTGAGAACTGGAAAAAAAGATCTTTCCTTTTAGGCCAAAATAAAAAAGAAAGGATGATGTCTTAGCTCAGAGGCAGGGCTAAACAGGAGCTACACCCAACAGCATGCCTAGGAACTGTAAGAGAGAGCACCTGGACTCTCACCATCCCAAGACTGAGCAAAGCACATGGCTCCTGTAATCAGGTTTCATAGAATCACAGAATGTTGTGAGTTGGAAGGGACCCACAAGGATGATGGAGTCCAACTCCTGGCCCTGCACAGGACAATCCCAACATTCAGACCATGTCCCTGAGGGCCTTGGCCAAATGCTGCTGGAATCTTGTCAGGCTTGGTGCCATGAGCAACTCCCTGGGGAGCCTGTTCCAGTGCTCCACCACCCTCTGCCTCAAGAACCTTTTCCTCATGGCCAACCTAACACTGGTGAGCATCCAGCAAGGGGAGGTTTATCAAAGCTGATATCTTCATTTCTCATCAGCTTTATGATAGACAGTCAGACACTTTCAGAAGGACCACAGTTCAGATCAGACAGGGCTCCAGTCAGTCAAGTTCACAACCAGCTGGTGCAATAGTGATTGTTTTTTTCCTGCAGTGTGTGCCATGCTACAAAGAAGTCCAAAGGAAATGGAGGAGAAAAAAAAATGCATGAACAAAGTCATCAGGATGACCAACACACATTTTCTTCTTTCTGTTTAACAAAGACTTAATGTCAGGTAGTATAAGAGTTCTCTTCTAATGGACTGTGCCAGAGCATAACCAGAACTTGGTAATAGGCCCCCGGGTTGTTTTTTCACTAAAAATCCAGAATACAGACATTTAGAAAGCAGCTTTAGTCTAAATACGCTTTACAGGATCAAGAAACAGTGTATTTAAGTTTTAGGAGAGCTTATAAAATAATGACTTCTGAATAAGAAACCTGGACTTAACTTCTCCTATCACTTTCTTCACTATAGAATACAGAGCTACTGCTTCATACGGGCAACAGTGACACCTACTGTTAACACTAAAAAAATCAATTTATCACTCTTAAAATTTAAAAAACAAACCAAAACATTTTTCCAAAGATTTTTAAAAGCATATTAAACATTTCCTTTTCAAAAGTTTCAATTTATCACTCTTAAAATTAAAAAACAAAACATTTTTCCAGAGACTTTTGAAAGCATATTAAACATTTCCTTTTCAAAAGTTTCCTTTGTAGCACATCTGTTACTACTGCAGAACTGAAGTTATCAGTAAAATGTAGAGTGTCTTGTAAAATGCCTTTTAAATACAAATTCACTGTTATTAATGCAGAACTGAAGTTATCAGTAAAATGGAAAATGTCTTGTAAAATGCCTTTTAAATACAAATTCCTCAAAACCAACCTAATGACACTATTTGAAACCTCTGCTGGATATCCTCACAGTAAACATTCTTGAACCATTATAATTAAAGCAGATCTGAAAAAGGCCTTCTTGTTTACCTTCATACTAGCATTTCGTGGTTTTTACCACCAGAGACACTGAAGTAACCACCCAAAATTGCAGTTACTGTACCTTTCTTAAACCATACACCTGTTGTAGTAACTGGGTCCTGCTCATGCAGTGCCTCTTTTTGGGATTCACAAGGGAGAATCATGCAAAAGGTAAATTCAATTCAGTAGTTCAACATTAAAAAAAACCCCACAACCCCCCCACACACACACTCAGATGTGTAGTTGTTTCTTTCCAATTAGAGCATCGTTTAACTAAGTCAAGTTTTACCAAGTTGCTTTTTTTACCAAGTTTCTCTAATTTCTTTAAGTACATTTCATTTTTGTTGAGGAAAACAGAGTAGGAGCTTTCCACAGAAGCTCTCCAACAGAGAAGCTCCACGATTTCAACATTCTCAGGGCAAGCCCATGGGCTAACTCCATAGCCAGCTTGAGTTGAGAGCGCTCAAGCCTAGAGAAGTAGAAGCCTAGAGACCACCAAGGAACATACATGATACATCAAGGACCATCTCCTTGCTACCAGCAGTAAATTGTCACTACAAAAGTATTTCCTTTGCATATTCCAGTCCAGCAGGTTTTTTTGTCTTTGGAAAAGCTCCTTCAACACATGCTAAAGAAGTTACAACAGCTACAAAGAATGTTCTCAAAAAACCTTACCTAAGCAAAGAGAAGACATCATAAGAGTTACGAACACAGTTCTGATCCACCTGGAGAAGACTATTCTTCAGGGTACCTGAGTGATCCTTAAGGCAAAGAAAGAATGTTAATTTAAGAACCATTTTTTTTTTCCCATCTTGACTAAAAACATGTACTTTTGGTAGGAGAACAAATGATCTTGCATTTAATGTGTTAGATGTAATTAAATCTGTCTTGATACAGTTTTATGTACAGCAGGTAAGAACAATTGAAGGTGCAATATCACCAAGTTCAAGCCTGGTCTACAACAGCACTTACCTATAAAGATGTTAATGACCTATCACTTTATCCGTGTTTTAGAGATGGAGTGTGTTTTCTTCAACTTTATAATCCATTAGTGCACAAATTTTATGCACAGAAATACTATAGAATGTGATTTACAGCACTGCTATTCTCCAGCTTCAAATCTGAGAGCCTATTCAGTACCAGGCCAGAGACATACAAAGACCACAAAATAAAGCTCTATTTTTTACCCATGTTTTTTAACATGTTTAAATGATCAAAGCAATCTTAGTTCTGAATGATGTGAACAAGTTTCTGGAAGGTACCAAAAAAAACCCAAAACAAAATAAAACACAAAACCAAATCCACACCCCAAATTTGTGTCATTTTTAGGAGTTGGAGGTGTACATTCTGCACAAGAGGCATCAGAATAGGAGCAGACAAACAGCAGCAATTCTTCATAATTTAAAGGTTAGATACTGAGCTCTTCCATATCAGGCATAGCCACACAAATTTCCTAGAAACACCACCAACTCAGAACTGCTCCTTCACATGATAAAGCAAATTCTAAGGAGGTCAAACCACCTGGCAGCACTTTCAGAAACTTTATGAATGGTAGGAAAAAAAGGCATTTATTTTAGTGTATCAAGTAGCCCCACCTATGATCAGTTAATTTTCCAGTGATACAGATGTACTGAGAGTACCACAATCCCTGCCTATGTATTTTTTCCTCCCTCAACAGGCTGCTTCCATTAGATGTTGAAATGCAGAGTTACACATCACCACCTACTGACACAACTGAGTGTGCTCCACTCTGTGCAGCAGACATTTTTTTCCACCAAAAATAACGATCCACCTAAAGAACTGGGAGAACTATACACAACTTTATGCATCATATTGCAAGAGAGGCACCATTGCAGCAGTTAGCTCCTCATTCCAAAGATGTTGGAACCTACATGCTGAAATCCATACATATATCCCCTGAAAAAATACCAAAATAAACACATCTTAATGCCTAAATGAACAAGGATGATGGAAAACTGAAAATGCACAGCTACCAGCAGCACCATTTTACACCATGAAGTTGATCTTTTTTGAAGAAACACCGTCTTCAGAAAGCAAAGTGCAAAAACTTTCAGAAAACAAGTGGAGTGGCCTGGAATAACTAGTTTCAGGGGGGGAAACTGAAAAGCTTGTTTGTACTGGGCACTGGTGAGGCCGCACCTCCAGTACCATGTTCAGTTTTGGGCCCCTGAGTCCAAGAAGGACATGGAGGTGCTGGAGCGTGTCCAGAGAAGGGCAACGGAGCTGGGGAAGGGTCTGGAGCACAAGTGTGCTGAGTTCCCTTGTGGCTGAGGGAACTGGGGTTGTTGAGCCTGGAGAAAAGGAGGCTGAGGGGAGACCTTCTGGCTCTGTCCAAGTCCCTTGGAGGAGGGTGGAGAGAGGTGGGGATGGGTCTGTTCAACCAAGGACCAAGGGACAGGACAAGAGGAAATGGCCTGAGGAAGAATTTCTTTGCTGAAAGGGTTCTGAGGCATTGGAAGGGGTTGCCCAGGGCAGTGGTGGAGTCCCCATCCCTGGAGGGATTGAAGAGTCATGTAGACATAGTGCTGAGGGACATGGGTTAGTCGGGGACTTGTCAGTGTTGGGTTCATGATTGGACTTGATGAGCTTAAAGGTCTTTTCCAGTTGAGGCAATTCTGGGATTCTGTGAAAGCATTTGGAGCAGCAACATATTTTAGCCTTTCCTTTTTCCCCTGTACTACAGCAGGTTGAAAGGAAATTCCCAAAAGTCAGACACCAAGTAGTCTATACCAACTGTTCTACCCTGAGGAAGCTTACAGAACATGCAAGGGAAGGGTTTCAGACTTCATTATTAAAGAAGTTTGCCCTTTGGAAGGGGAGTTTGTCTACTTCTCTGCCACAGCATTTAGTAAACACACAAAAAGGTTTTGCTTGTGCAAAGTGGCCAGTTTCTAGCTGCTAAAAAAAATTATATATATATATATGCGCCTATGGGCAGAAACTCTACCTGCAGTGATGGAGACCACATACTGGAGAGAGAGAGAGAGATGATGCTTGCCAAAGATACTGGTCTTCCCTGCTTAACAGTTGAAAAAGTAGCTATAATTTAGTAAACCTGAATAATATTATTATAATATTATTAACTTATTCTTCTGTCCCCCCCATACCCCAACCACAGCCAAATGTTTTGAGTTAAAGAGCTGCATAGACTAGATCCAGTTTTATTTCTTTAAGGAGACAACAGAAAGCCAGTCATTAACTAAAAGCTGTATTTGCTTCCCTAAATGCACGTGCTGATAAGTTATCACTGCAAGAGCAAGGTTAGTTAGTAGCAGCAAGCATAAAATGGTTAAAAGAAAATTTGAAAGGCAGGAAGTCATTGAGGAAACCAGAGAAAAGAGCAACCTGGTTTTAGGAAAGTTCTGGTATAGGACCCAGAACTGATTTTGTTGAGTCTGGGTAATAATTGGTTTTACCCACAAGTATTCAGTCTCAAACATAACCAAGTAGATTCAGAAAATTGCTGAAGGACTAGGAACCCTTTAAGTCCAGGTTGACAACTTAAAAAGAAAAAAATCTCTGAAGCTCACATTATGTTATTCAAACATTGGTCCAGCTCAAGGAAATCCAAATAGAGTTTCACTCTATAATTACTAGAGAGGATAAAACTAAGAGAGGAACAAGTGCTTCAGTGGTCCCATGCCAGAAAGGAAACAGGAAAATAAATTGGACATGGTTGTGATGAAAGAAGCATCCTGC